AGTCAAATGGGAAAGTGAGTATACATGACAATGGTACTCACATAGAGTTTACAAACTCTAAAACTATTTCTAATTTTTAAGGAAACAATGGCTCTAACAAGGCCAATAAAGGAAGAGTAAGTACTTATAACAGTAGTACTTACATAGGGTTTACAAACCCTAACCTAAAGTTAGGCTGAAAAGGGAAATGGCTCTAACAAGACTAATGAAAATGATCCTGACAAGGTTAAGAAGAGAGTAAGGAATGGTTTAAACTATCCTAAAAAATGACTTACAAGTCAAAGAGGTAAACCTTCCTTTGGAATAAGGGACACATAACTTGTAACAATAAGTGTTTAAGTGATAAGCTTAAGGTAGGGGTGATGACAATCAAGGTATCAAAGCCAAAGATATCAAATGAGATAACAAACCAAGGAGGGAAGTAGCTACATAATGTTATGTTCAACATGCTCAAATGATTAGGAAAAGTTCACAAACATATCAAACACACACCAAAACATCAAGCATACTTGCTACAAACTTAATCATACAAAGACAAATGCAAAGAATAATTCAATCATGAAAGTTACAACTCAAGAGCCACATAGGCAGTAGCATGCACATCATGTAAAACTCTTAGTCAACATCAAGATGTTAATAGAAATACAAACAAGAATCACATTAAGGCATGCATAAAACTAAAGGCAAGAAACAAGCCAAAACATTCATGAAAGGACTCAAACAAACCAAGACATACATAAATGATCAAATGGGCAAGAAAAAACACTTTGGAATTATGAAGTCAGAAGCTAAGAAATGCTTTTCAAACCACACATAAATATATATTCACCAAGACAAACACTCAAAGAATCATGACTAAAAACTAGGTCAAAGCAGATACATATAATCAATGGGCTGGTATCTTCATAAAACCCCTTGTTGAAGATATATTTGTTCTTATTCTGAAAATTTTGAAAATGGAACCTTCTCCAAAATAAAAAATAAAGTATTTTCAATATGTATAAACTCTGGAGAGTCAAAATATGACTCTGAGATAAATTGGCTCTGAACCAGTTAGCCCTATGAAGTTAGAAGGCTCTCTGGGTCAAAAGGTCCAAAGTTATAACCCTTTTGGGATTTTCTGTCTTCTGGACTTTGAGTTCTTGAACTCACTGGTGGTAATCAAGCGTTATTTGCATGGCTATAAAGTAAGACAAATGTCCTATGTTAAAGTCATCTGAATGTTTGAAGTGATCCATTGAAATAATATTTCTTGGTTAAAGATAAAATCTCTTCACTTGCTTCCCTTATCAGATTGCGTGTATTTTCAAAAATCTATTTTCTTTTTCAAAATGATTTTTATTACTTGTCTGTTCAAATATTGTTTGTTGGATCTTTTCAATACTCTGTAATAATGTATTATGACGAGCGTGCCTCGTTGCGTATCTTATTATAAACGATATTACTGAAGGCTTCATTGGTAACTGTTGAGCCTATTTCCGTTTAGCTCTCTACCTACTCCCTCATAATCGTTTTAACTTCTTTTCCCTCCCTATTAAAAACCCTTCTCAACTTTCTCTCATCATCGCATTTTGCATTTTCTAAAACCCTTTCTAAATAAAAGTTTTATATTCCTCCACATCTCTTTTTAACCTCAAAATGTCTTCCATATATGGTGTTGCATGCCTTTTTTGCATCTCCTTTGAAAAATTCGTTGACTTTGTTGAATTAAGGAGTCAGGGTCTTTATTTTCTCAATGCTGCCCATTCCTAGAAATGGGAAAAATACTTCGACATGCTCAAAGGACCCACCTATCCAACTCCCGTGAGAGAGTTTTGTACAAATGTGTCCCTCAAGCAGATAAGACAGAATGCTTCATGCATTTAGTCTACTGTCTCCGGTATTTCCATCACCATCACTCCTGCCCTGATTGCTAAAACAATCTAGTGCAAGGAGACTGGTGCCCATGTGGACACGTATATAATAACAAGTCCCTTCTTGAAGACATTCATAAGAAGATACTTACCACCTTACCAATCTTGCTAGTGTCTCCTCCCTCTTTCTCAAGACGTAAATCTGGCATCAACTGTTGGTGTCAAACATTCAGCCACATGAAGAAGCTCTGGAAACACTAATCTTTGATGACAAACATCTTATCTTCTTTATCTTGTCTAGGATCAAAGTTAACCTTCTTCTCATTATCTTCAATTTTTTGAAGAAAAAGATAATTGCCTCTCACGAGGGAGTATCCTTTCTTATTTCTTTTAGAAGAGTTCTTTCTGAACTTTTCCATCAAGAAGGAATAATGAAGAAAGTGCAGGAAGCTGAGTTAACTGAGGCTCTAGAGAATCATTGGAGTCTGAAGCTCGAAGTAGCTGAAGGCACCTCAGGTGTTGGACCCTCTGTCCCCTATATTTTTCTTTCCTTATTTTTTTTCTTTTGTTTTTTTTCTTCTTTTGTATTTTTTTATTATTATTAATGAAGTTATTTTTATTTTCTCTTGGTTCTCTTTTACTCTGATTGTATTTACTGCGTTTTTAAGTTATATAGTTTATCTTAATCTTTTTGATTAATGACAAAAAGGGAAAAAAGAAATATGATTTTGATATATCTTGTAACCCTAATAAATCCCATACAATGCTAATATCATTCTGATTATTTTCTCAACTTCAAACTTTTTCTAGTCTCATCTCATGAGGAGCTTATAAACCTCACTCTGAAGAAAATAAGAATTTTTTGATAAGTATGAAACTTAGGGGAAGGTTACAAACCTATCTCTAATGTTTTATAGATATGAGTATCCAATAAAAATTGTTCATCAAAATTTACAGATTTGTCATCATAAAAAATGAGGAGATTGTTGGAACAAGTCTGATTCTACAACTATCCTTAAATTTTGATGATAACAAATTGTAGAGAACGGTTTTGTACTCTAACTATTTTGCTAAGTGTGCAGATAATAGAAAATAGATTCTGACTCTAAAGATGTGCAGACTCTGAACTAAAGAAGCACTATGAAGCGAAGGATAAATAAAAAAACGTGTTTACAAGAGAAATAGAGCATACAACACAACATTGCATAAAGATTTCAAAGCTCTATGTGAAAAGAAAAAGAAAAGTGTTTTTACTCTAAGAAAATTATCACGTTCATAAACGTTAGAACACTTTCTTGAATTGCTTCTCAAGTGTATCATTTGTTTTAAAACTTGTGTATGTATTTTTTGAAGCATATTGTAAACCTAACTTTGTTTATATTAACATTTGGTTAATTTTCTTGAGAGACTAAGTTTAGTAAAAAAATTTAACAAGTCATGGACAGTTAGTCTTTGAGTTGTATTTTCTTGAGTGATTAGGTTATAATCAGAATTTTCAATAAGCCTTAGACAATTGGTCTTTGAGTTTTTGTAATACGTTTGATTATTGGATTAAGTCTTTATTGAGAAGGCGAAATCACTCAGGCGAATGGACTGGACTTAGCTTCGTTAGTAGCTTACCAGGATAAAAATGCATGTGTTGTTTATCTTTATCATTATCGTTGTTGTTTGTGATATTGGGTTGCAAAAGTTTTAAAACCCGAAATCTAATTCACCCCTTCTTGTGTTTCTTTAACCTTCAGCATCAACTTCTAAATTCCTATTCCTAGTTCATTATAAAGTTCAATAAATTGGTTATTTCAGATAATCATATTAATGGCTAAAAATCCATAATTATCTAGATCGATTTGTACGTCCGTAAGCGACAAAAAACATTAAACACAAGAACAATTTAAATAAGATAATAACATTAACATAACTCAACAAATATCGAACAAGCATGTGATCCAACAGAGTAAAAACAAGGTTAATATAAAAAACCCCTAATCTAGAGAAACTTAACTACTCATAGATATATTAACAAATACCATGAGTGGATAAATATTCATCATCAAAATCTATTAAAAATTGCTCTTCGATGGCTCCAAAATCGTCCATTGAAACTCCTTAGCTGTCACTTTTCCTCTCCAATTCAAAACCCTTGAAAAAGTAGGCAAAAATGCCTTTACATAGAAAAAACGTGTCATCCAAAAGTACTCATCGTGCCGCGAAGAGATGCATTGCAGGTGCGAGAATTCCAATGGCAAATCACACATTTTTCTTTCATTTTCTTCACAATTTCACTAAATGTTTATATCTTCCTTGTGTTTGATTTTTTCTTATTTCTTCACACTTTAGCTTTGCTTTTGATCAATAATCTTTTGAAATTATTCAAATTTTCTCATAAAAATTACATAATGACGACTATTAACACGTTTCTCGCCCGATACTTTCCACCAATCAAAATAACATAATTAAAGAACCCGATAACATGCATAAAGCAAACTGATGGTGAATTGCTTTACAAAGCTTGAGAGCAATTCAAGGATGATGAGATTGAGTCTACACCAAAGGCTGAAAAAATGGTTTATATACATTTTATAATGTTCTTCTCTATTCCATAAGAATGACCTTAAATACTATTGCAGGAAGGACCTGAATGAATAAAGATAATGATGAGACCTACATCTTTATCGAAGACAATGCGTAGAATCACTACCGGCGTGAAAGCAAACATGCTCATATAAAAAAAATCTAAAAAAAGAGTAATGCACAAAATTTTGTCTTTGACCGTATTAACACTTAGCTAGATTCCATAGTTAAGGAATTCAACCTAGTATACAAATCATATGTTAAAATAAAAATTATTATAATAAAACAAATTTCTTTTTTAAAAGTATATTTTAAAAGTAAATTTATCAAGAAAACATTTCCAAACATATTTTATTTTATTTTTCCTCAAAACAATTTTAAAAACAAAAAAACAAAACTCAATCAAATAAAAATAAAAAAAATCCTAAATCCTCTATTTTCTGTCAAATTTCAGTTCACAGTCAAACAGAAGAAAACACAAAATTTGAACAAAATAGAAAATATTACTACAAATATAGAAGATCATACCTTAATCTAACGCCTGAAATAAAATTGGTTTCATTCTTGTAAAGCTTGATGGGTAGGGTTTTCTTTCTTGATTTGGAAGGAAGAGCTTACAGATGCGTATTCTGTCAAACCCCTTTTGCACTTGCCGATCATGTTCTCTCTCGGGTAAACCTCTATCTCAGCTGTTCAAGTCCGTTACCCAGAGATTCATATATTTTTGGTTAAATTTAATTTTATATTAATATTTGAAGATGGATGATTTTAGTTTCTGATTTGAGGTAAACCCTAGTATACAGTGTTCGCAGTTTTGAATTGCTCGAGTCATATATAAGATGATGATGTTAGGTTGGAAATTTAGGTAAATATAAGTTCCTTTCATGTGTAATGAATTCATGGGTTTCGAATCGATGCAATGAGTTGTTGGTAGAAAAATCAGTGAGGGAAAGGGATTTCATAGATTTATTCTACAATGAATCATATGGGGAGCTGGTTTTGCAACGCGGAAAGTTAAGATGAAGTCGAGTTTACTTTTAGGTAGTTCGACATATGTTTTAAGCAGAATTTGAGGTTAATCCAGGTTTGGAATTGATGTAATAAGTTGTTGGTTGGTAATTCAGTGAGGGAAAGTGATTTCATAGATTTATTCTACAATGAATTGGGAGATTGTGTTGTATCACGTGAGTTAAGATGAAACATCGACTTTACTTTTAGGTAGATTGATATATGTTTTAAGCAGATATTGAGGTTAATGAAGCCGTTGCCATTAAAAACTGGAATAATGTTATGAGAGAATAATATAAGATTACTTTATGGAGAATGGAGGTATATTGTATTTCAGTCCACAACACAACTGTTAGTTGTTCTGAAGATAAGGGATTCATGGATCTGGAAAACAAATGAATCCCATCTCCTCGCCATTTTCTCTCTTATGCAAAATAAGAAGTTCGTTCATGATGTGAATCATGCCATTCCCTGCCATGAATTGAGACACATTCCCAAACGCGAAGATGTAAAAAGGGGTGATTGAAATAGAATCTTGTCCTAGATAATTGTTATTATATGGTCCATTTTGTAAAATGTACCTGGTTCTTGTGTGCAAATTTTCTTTCTGATATGGCTTAGCAATTTGACTATGGTTTGTTTCTCTATGATGATCAGTCCTTCAGCTGCAGTCGAGGGAGGGCATACCTTTTCAGCAAAGTGTAAGTTTATTTGAAACATTTGTTTATATCCCTTGTTCCCTGCCACTTCCTCCTTTTCTCTCCATGTTCATTATCAAGCTTTCATATAGATCTACTTTGATATCTGTTCAGTATTGTGCTTCAGACAAATTTAGTAAACCCTCCCTCTGCAAGGGCCTACCAATCCCTAACCTAAACCATCTTTTCTCTATTGATATGCAAAATGAATTAAAACACTGAATTTATCGTTGATATGAAGTATTATGATTTTTTTTCTGGCTTGCCCAATTAGCGCCTTTTCTTGCCATGAACCACCCCATATAGCATCTTCTTGACAGACTATTTCATATATCCTTGCTTGTTAACTTTTGGTATTCGATAGGGTGAATGTTACACTTGGGACTCAAGTAGAGAGATTGATGATATCTGGAATGCATACAGTTGAAGACATATTTTGTTGCTGCTGTGGACAAATTGTTGGATGGAAATATGTGAGTTTTTCTTTTTCACCTCATTTCTTTTATCATACTTTTGGTCTTTTTAACGGGTTACCATCATACATCATGTTGATAATATAGAATGTTACGAAAATGTAGTCAATAAATGATTTTTTGGGAAAGGTTAATGGACTATAGTATTTATGTGACATGATGGATTAACTTGATTTAGGATAGGTGGACTTTATGACTCTTTTGATCCTAACAACCAACCCCAATGAGTAACAATGCAAATTAAACCTCGAATTCAGAAATGCTATACTTCTTTATTTTTTCTTTGGTTTTAAAGAAATTGGAATTTAATCTGGGGGTTTCCACGGGTATTTTTTTTTCAAGAGGTAGTTCATTGGCATCATTAATTTTGGGGATCAGTCTTGAAAGTTAAAATCAGCAATCGATTTTGATTGAATATGTAGGTAAATCAGTTTAAACTAGTACAAGAACACAAAGGAATGATTTTTCTGGTTTCCCAAAAGATTGTGTTTATGTAATTCATTTAAAGAAATTGTTTTCTATTCCTTGAGAAGTTAACTTAAATTGATGCATTGCCATGAAACTTTAGATTTGTTTAATGTGATCCTGTTTGGGCTGAAAATCCCCAAGCGTTTAAACTTTTAACTCACTCAGGAGAGAGATGGCTTTTACATTTGTTTAGGAGGATTATCTATTGAAACAAACACTGTAACATCATTGACATGCAAGCACTTGGTTGACTCCGCAATCAATTTTGGTCTCATCTCCATATATATTAGCATCAATTTTTGACGAGCTCAATGCAGTTAGAAGTAATAATGTTTTGGATTCATTCAGATTATAGCACATGAGAAAAGTGAAGCATATAAAGAAGGGAAATTTGTGCTCGAGAGGTATGGAGTAAAATTTGATTTTGAGTCTTCGACTTTGATCATGTTAAGCTAAACTAAAATTTGATTACTGTTGATGAATCTCGCAGATGGAGGATAGTTGATGACGTTGAAGAGGAATTAAATTTGGATGCTAATGCTAGTTCAAGCGAATCAGATGAAAACCCTTAGCAAGTTGCTCCTTTCATGAATTCAAGAGTTGTAGCTAAGCTAGAAAATATATATCCTTAGTTTTTTAGTATTCATCAACATAGAATTTCACAAAGAAACTCTCTAGTTGGAGAAGTTTATTGCTTGATTTCAGCATTTATATAAATCTTCTCATATAGAACTCGAAGTTGCTATTTGTTTATAGATGGCATGGCGTGCCTGCGCAAACATCCTGCAGTTCTTGCAGGTTGATAGGGTAATAAATTTTTGTTGTTGTGATAGTTAACATTTTTACTTGATCTCAATATATCTAATATATGTGGAAAGTTAGGTTACTGTTCTAACAATACGTTTGCAGATACAATTTACAGTATTAGGATTTGTTCTATTATCATGTAAAATTGGGGCTTCTCTCACAGTGAAACGGTTCTAACTCTGAGGAAGTAGGAGTTCATTTTCTTCAATGTCAATAATTTTGTGAAATTTGCTTTATTATTTTTCTACATCTGCATTCAGACACGTTTTTTTCAAAGATTTGTGAGTGCTTCCTGCATTTGTTGCATTACTGTGATTGAGTCAGTAATCAAATTCTCATCACCAAAAATCATGACAACTGGTATCTAAAGTCTGATTTGATATTCAGCTAACAACCAAGTTGAATATGGATAAGTTTATGTGTGACAATGATTTTAGTCTTTGGAGGGTGATGAAAGCCCTTGTATAGGGCTTGATTGATGCCTTGATAGGGCCTGCAAAGGACAAGGATGATTTTCAACACTGTTATTAGTTGGTTACCACAGCCACCAGAAGCATTCAACATGCCAACATTTTATTTTCTGAGTAAGTATAACTATCAAATCAATCTGAAATGTGCATTTGAAAAAACTTAGATCTTGAGCTTACAAATATAAATTAGACGGTAGCAAGCCAGCCTTAAAAATAAGCAACTTAAACATAACAATGCATAATTGAGTCATAATTTACATCAAGATACAAGAGTACAATACCCTCATATATAATCTCTATTATTTTGAAGATATTGATGCAGCAACAGAACATGATCAGTGTCATCAAACACTGCTTTATTAGAAAATTCAAAACTCCCCATTGCGTTAATTTTCTGAGTTTGCTGGGAAGAATTTCGTAGAGAGAGAAGCATTATAATAATGTCATTGTACCTATCTAGTACCTTTCTTGTGGAACAGTTTGTCCTTTAACAGATCCTGGCTGCACGGCTTCACATTTCCGGCAAGGTGATATAAAAGACATGAACATTTTCTGTCCAAACCATGTTTTTGCGACAGCTTTTTCCTTGTTTTTAAGGTTTCTTGCTTTGGTAAGTTGTTCCTGGTATTTCCTTAATTTGCTGCCGGTTTCTGCACTGATATGCTGTTGAATATCAATTTCTAGCAATGATCTTAGGGAAAGTGGGGGATTTGTGAAGAAAGATTTGTTTGGTTGAAATGCAATCGCATGTGGCTTAATTTGTCCATTAGAAATCAACATATCAGCAGGTGTGATCATGAATGGATTAGCAGCAGTAGAATATAATTCTGGTTTGATAGTGGAAAATTCAAAATCTGGGTTTGGCTTAGATGCTGCATGGTTATTTTGATGTTGTTGGTCTTGAATAGAAACAAGGCCAGCAAAAGAGAATGAATCAGCTGAAATGCTATCTCCTGCTGCATCAGAGATATGTTTTTTTCTTTGAAGAGTACCCATTGATTTATGACTGAATTGGTCTGAGTCAGAATCCGTTGAGATCAGATGTAAGAGTTACTGAAAAGTAAAGTAAGACAGTTGTGTTAACGACTGAATTGGTCATATATATGAGCTAGACGTGTTTGTTGTGACTTTGTTGCTATGAGATTATTACTGTTTGATGTGTTTGTTGTGACTTTGTTGCTATGAGATTATTACTGTTTGATGTGTTTTACTGTCGTCACTGTGTTTACTAGACCTTGCTGTTTATGAAAGGGTAATAATAACACACAAGGGCCAAGCCCATGCATGGCCTGCAGATATTGAAGTGACTTTAATTTTCATTCGTTCAAAAATATGTAATTGTAATTTTCTTTCAGCATATATACGTAATTTCCGTGAAATGCCACTGGCCAAATTGTGTGACTTTTTTTTTTAATAAATATCTGTGACCTTTCTTAAACTTGGAAAGATATATCCAGTTATATTTTGTAAAATTTTCAAAAAGGTTGATAATAGAAAAAGAAAATCCTACGGTCCAATTAAAATCAGTACTTCGTTAGTGTTAAATATTATTGCTTATTCATTGGAAGAAAATATAGTAAGAAAAGTATCCAGAAAAAAGTTGACTATCCAATTAACGCAACTATATTTAGAATTAAAAAATCCGAGATTATGCCATTGTTTGATCAACTATATGAAAATTTCTTCACGGTCTTTTTTCTATTAAAGGTGAATGCTAGTTTTCTCGAAGTAACACAATGTATTGTTTGGGTGAATGATTTTTTTACTTCTTTTTCTTTTTTTCTTAAAAGTAATATGACATTAAAGAAGTATAAGGGGGTATTCAATCCCTAAACAAATAGATTATATAAAAAAAAAATTCTATCAACATCAACCGAAATTAAACAAAAGACATCTTATAGAAATCGTAGAAATCAAAGTTGGAATAGTTAATTTTTCCTATGCAAATCCACTTTCAAACTAAAACCTTAATATTCTAATAAATATCGTTTAAATTACAAGAACCGTTATAAAATATAATCTCGTTCCTAACCTTCCAAATGCTCCACACTACCGTCAACCACACTCTATTTCTCCTATTTTTAATGCCAAACAAAATTCCTAATGCCTTGCCAATCTAAATAACGTTCAACGTGAAAATGAAACCGAGCAATCCATCTAATCCCCCACCATACACCAAATATTCGAAGAAATAGGACAAAAAAAAACTAAATGAATCAAATTCTCTTTCGATTGATTGCACAAAACGCATTTCCTCTTCACTTAAGTTTGACATAAACCTCTTAAAAAAACTGATCCCATGTGGCCAACCGATTTAGAAATAATTTCCAACAAAAAAATATATATCTTGCAGGAACAACTGAATTCCATAGCAATCCAAGAACCCTGCAAGTTTCAGTTTCTGGCCATATAGGTAGAGACGTGCCTTGCATCTGCAAGTAACCCTCCTTAACCGTATACGAAACGGTCGTCCAACAGTCCACGCCAACTCATCCTTCTTGCTTTGATCTGAACATAAATTATTCAGCAGCAACGGTAAGTTGCAGACCTCGGTTTCAGCTTCAAGTTGTAGTTCGCTCGCGATTTCGAAGTTCCCCCATAACCATCCTTCATCCGACCAACAACCCATATTCACCACTAAAGCATCCTTACTACTACAGGCCTGAAACAGAAAGGGAAAAGAAACAACAAGAGAAAGTTGAACACACCAATAAGCTGTCCAAAACAGAACCATCAAGCCATCACCAATATTAAATCTGATCGAATCCGCGAAACTCATACCTTTGGAAGCAGTCAGGACACCTACCTTACATAAATCCTTCCACCAATTAGAAGCTGAAAAAGTTCATAGAATAGCTTTTCTCCAACAACAGTTGGGTTTCTATCCCGCCGTATCTAGCCTTTAACACATTTTTCCACAAAGCATCATTCTCTCGAAGAATTCTCCACTTCCATTTAGGGTTTTAGCCAAGTTTTACATTCGAACGACAAGTATCTACCTTTCCACAAAGCCAATTTTTTCTCAAACTTATAAATCAAATATGACCAAGTTTTGATACGTCTCGGGTTTGAGCCAATTGGAATTCCTAAGAAGGAAAAACAAGAGTTTTCTACCTTACACGCAAGAAAAGTATATGCTGTTGCCATGAAATAAGCACTAACATTTAAACCAATCAAATGACTTTTGTTGAAGTTCATGCGTAATCCTGAAACAAGTTCAAATCCCCGAAGAATTGCTTTGATACTCCACAAATTCTACCATCCAACTCCTCCAATTAAAAGCGTATCGTCCGCAAATTGGATAATTTCCACCGACACATCATCCTTTACCGTAAAACCTTTGTAATATCCCCTATCAACAACATTACTAACTAAAGAAGATAAGCCCTCAACAACAATCACAAAAAGAAAAGGAGAGAGCGGATCGCGCTTGTGTAAACCTCTTTCAACCCTTTAAGAATGTGTTTGGAGTAAGCCTCGTAGCTAGTGAAAATAGTTTTTTTTTTTTTTTAAATTTAAAATGATTTGAATAAAATATATTATTTAGATAAAAAATATGAAGAATTATTACAATGATATAAATTTATAAAGTATTGTATTTTAATTAAATTTAAAATTTTTTAAATAACATTAAGAAAACAAAAAATTTAAAATTGCTCATTCTATATGTATAATTAAATGTTAAATTGTTTATTATTAATTTTTAAAATTTTGCAAAATAATCTTTATATTTTATGAAAATTTTCAAATTCACCTTCAAAATTTTAAAAAATTGCAAATAAATTCTTAAGAATTTTCAAACTTTACAAATTGATTCCTCAATTTTTCAAAAATTATAAATTGGTTTATATCAAAATTTTTAAAGTTTATAAAAATAACCTCAAAATTTTAACAAAAATTATTTTAATACTCCATCAAAACAAAAGAATTTAAAAACGAATTGATTTTAATTGAATCATTTGAATTTCTTATAATTTTGAATTATTTAAAAAATTTCAATTACTTTGTCCAAACAGATTTTAGATATATTACAAAATAAATTATAGGATTCTCCTATTTTTGGATAAAAAATAGTTATGATTTATTTTACAACATGAAATGGGTTCATGTTTGCACATTTAAAAAAACTATTGGAAATAGTGGACACTTAATAGGGGGATGATCAATCTATGTTCCTTAAAAATAATTAAGTGGGTAGATGAAAAAAGAAAATAATTACATATTTCATGTTTTAAATTTTGGTATATCGATAAAGTTAGATAGAAAAATATGGAGTATGTATTGTTATTGATAAG